TTCTTGTCCTTTAGGAAAAATTGAAAACCTGTCTTTTTCGAACAGACCAGAGGCTGGGGTGATTTGTGATCCCACCTGGTTGATGATTTGTGATGACCCACCTGGAAATTTGCTTGTATATTACCTTAATGTGTTATTATTCCCATTTTTGGTGTTGCATATGTATGTTTTTAACTCTGTATGTTGCTTCAGTCTTTCTGATTTGGTGGCCTTATTATTATTAATTCCATAAGAACACATACTGGACTTGGAAGACAATATTTACTGTTTTTTTCTTGGTCAAGGTATATGAGCTATTATTTTGATGCTTTTTGGGAAAAAATATAATATATATCTTTTCATTCAAATTGGGAATATTTGTCTGTTATGCAGCTATTTAAATTGGTGGCCACCCAGTTCAGTACCATGAGCACGAATGAATATCCAATGAAACAGATTCTCTATAGATACCACTTCTGTAACAACACATATTGGACCTGAAGGATAATGTTTATTATTTCCTTCTTGGTCATGTAATGACTGGGCAGGGATAGGAAGAAACAACTGATGTGTTGCAATTTGATCTTCATTGATTCTCTCTATATGAACAAACCACCTCAGTGCTCTTCATACCAATCACTCCTTCATTTTTCTCTTCCTCCACATTCATTCAGTCCACATACATTTGTGACCCTCCATGTTCTAGCACCATAAATGAAAACCACATATGAGTCAATCTTCCAGTTTCCAGGTTATATGATCAAAGAAAGGTGATTGGAATGGATGCCCCTTAACCACTTGTTGAGGTGTCCAACTTATAGGAAGTAGATTTTTTTTCTTAAAAGCAATTTTAAAAAAAGCTACCAATTTGTTAGAAATGGACATTCATATGCATCATCCCAAATATAATGTAAATAGTTAACAGTTTCAATAGAGTAAAATTACCAGGAAGTCCCTGAGATAAATTAAACTCAATTTTCAGTTCGCCAAATGTTTTAAAAATTGCTTCAGTGGACTTTAGGTATTTAAAGTGACACCAGAAATAAGTTTCTACTGTGCCGAAAGAGGAGATAATTTACCAACTAGTGTCACTATGGTTTTTCTATAATAGTGACTTCTTCATAAAAGAGTATATAGCATTTAATCTTATAATCCTGTATTTTTGAGTTTAGAAGCCTGAAAATGCAAAGAGATAGTTTTGTCTTTCCCAGTGGGGAGGCCTGCTTTTATCCTTTATAGCTCTTCTTTTTTCCCGTTCATACTCAGCAGTCCATGGTCATATCGGAACTTCACATATAAGCTGCTCCTGTTATGCCAGCTTTAGTCTAAGCCATGCCAAGGACAACCTATTCCAGACCAAGGGCAGATCCATGCTTTCTGCTTGCCACCTCACCACTATGGCTACCCATGGCTTTGTGAGCATAGGGCCAAACGTTGTCCTCTACTCACTCCCAAGCCTTGCGAATGTCCATGTTTTCCAGTTTTAATCAAAATGGCTGTTGTCCGGTCGTAGCCATCTTAAGCCCTCCAAGCAGATGGACTGCAGTGCTTCCTTCTGCTCTAGTGAGAGCTCCAGCTCCAGTTGGTTACACAGCCTGGCACATACACACCTACCCCTTTATCTGTCTCCTTACTGTTAAGTAATAATGTCCCATGCCAAAGTAACACGAGCAAAGGTTTCTCCCTGATGTGACAGAGCAGAAAGGGGAACCAAAGTGAGACATAATGAACTATGTTTCACTGACATTAGTGGAGTCATGAGCAAATAGGGTAGTTGAAGCA